AGTATCTTAATTAAAATTTACGCATCTTGTTAAGGAAAAAACTGGACATCAACATTCCACACTCGCAACGATATTAATTTCTTGTGACGAAAATTACTCAGTGGATATTAATGAACTAAGATACTATTATGAATGATATATTAGCATATTTTTAATTAACTTAGTTACTTAGCTAAATAAGTTGGGTGAGGAATTTTTTTGGTTAAAAGATAACTAATTAATAATTCATTTACTGATATATAGGGGAGAGGGGGGCACATGTGAACAATTTTTTTTATTTCTTCATTTTTCAAAAAATATTATAAATTTCTCACAGTAAAGAAGTTCATATGTTTAAGTAGTCTTTTCTTCGTCTTATGGAATTTTTTGAGATTTTTTAATAAAATATTTTTTTACTTTATGATATTTTAAAAAAATGACTTCAATTGTTCACATGTGCCCCTATTGGGGGCACATGTGAACATGCCTGGGGCACATATGAACAAGATTAAAAACACAAAGCAATCATCATATTTCAAGGGAAAAAAATCTTTAATATGACAGATATAGATACGTATTATACTGAAGGGGTTGTAGCTTACTATGCGAATTTAAACTGTACAACAGTACTGTCAATAAGAAAATAATTTTTCAGCTGTACAATAATTTTTTCACTGTTGGGTTTTTCGCAACTTCATGTTCCTCAGGAGTTGTAATGGGCCTTTTTCTTTCCTCTCTGATACTCTTTCATGCTTTTTTTTCATTTTTCTATCTTTTCATCTGTAGTTTAGCAATTCTATCTTTCTCAGGTGTATCAGTTAATATGCGTGATGCGCGATCAACCATTTAATAAAAAAAAAATTTTTTTTAAAGAAAAAAATAATAAATTAATTATGGAAAATTAAATAATAATAATTTTAAATGCATACATATTTTTTAAACTTATAATATCATGAGGATAATAATCTTAATACTATGTAGGGGCACATGTGAACTGTTCACATCTGCCCCAGATGATTTGTTCACAAGTGCCCCATCATCCTTCTTAAACCTTACTTGAAAAATAAAGAACTTTTAATTGAGTAAAAAAAAAAATTAATTGTCATAAACTTACCTGAATGTTCATATAATGGTCTGCAATAGTTAATTTCAGTTTATTAGTTGATTTATACTATGCTTTCACTTGAAGAAGCTAGTGATTATAATATATACAACACCAACTGATACAAAGAAATTGTCAGAATAGAACAACAAAATGTCTCATTGTACTGAAAGTTTCGCAGAGAGGTAGGACTAGTACTGCCATCAATTGAAAATTTTTCAAGATTTTTTATTTCAAATCATATTGGTAAAACATACCATGTTCACATGTGCCCCCTGTTCACAAGTGCCCCCCTCTCCCCTATATTTTTCAGAAGTTTTACTAATTTTTGTTTTCTTCAATAGTGCCATTAAGCATATGCTCAAAAACGGTCAAATACGATTCAATAATTTTTTTAGATCATTCAAATAATTATCTTAATATTCAGTAGAGTAATAGTTTTGTTTATTTAATTATAGATATTTATCTAATAATTTTCACAAGATCAAAATCTCTATTTTCCTTTTTATTTTCCTTTATATTTTATTTCCTTATATATTCTGTCTATTTTCCTTACCCCACTAGTGGGGTAAAGCCAATTACACATGCCAACTCTATAGAAAAATTTTGAAATATTAAAATTTCAGTGAAAAATTCACAGACATTTCTATATTATATGACATGTTATTTATATGTGTAGTCAAGGCCATACTCATCAAAGAGGGACAATTGTCTTAAAACCCAGGTCTGCTGAGAGCCCACCCAAAATTCTTCACAGAAAATATAGTGATTATTAATTATTTTCTTTCAATCTCTCTCTATATATATTTGTTTATATCTATACAACGTGCGTGTATAAAGGGTAATTTTGTATAAAAGGTCCACAAAAATTTTGTAAAATATGAAAATAAGGCTTTTTGTGCTTTGAAGAATAAGCCCGCTATTAATTTTGCCCCGGGCCCGTAAAACCATTTTTTCAGCTTTGGGTGTAATTGTCTTCTTCCTCCGTTGTACAGCAGTTTTTACTGGCCCAGCACATGCACACATTAAGGGTGTTACAACGAGAGCAGACGTTATCGAAATGAAGCAGGACGATATCCTTATTGTTTTTAAGGGTATGAATGTTTAGTAAACGTTTAATTAGCTGGACTAGATCACCGGACATTTTTTATAGAGACTTTCCCCAGATCGTATAAGCTTATAATTCTTATAAATCTAAATTTAAATAAATAAGGATAGCTTCAAAACAAGAGAACATTGGAGAGTTGACATAGTGAAACAAACTTATCAACACAGTGGCTGTGAATTAATCAACTATAGCACGTCAATATTGCAAGTCCTTCTTGAAAAGTCAACTGTAGTTCAAAGCTCGTCCACTAGAAAACATAACTAATTTCCACATAATTGACCCCACTATCCCCTATGCATTTTTGTGCTTTATCCACTTTTAGCTTTATTCAGAAGTTTCTTTTATCTAGTGCAGTGATTCTCAACCTTTTTTTTGTGGCGGCACACTTTTAACGATTTCGAAATTTTACGGCACACAATGAAAAAAATTAGTTTAAAAGTTGTTTACTTACATGTGTTAAATAGTTTGTGATAATAATTTTGAATGAGAAATAAAATAATATGTACTACAAAAGCACGTTTATTAAGGGATTAATTATTTCTTCCTACTAATTTTTTGTTAGTTAATAACAGTTATTTAGTTTTTTGCTAGTTATAAATTGTTAGCTTGTTTTCTATAGTTATTATATGTTCGTATTTTTACATAAATTTTTTTTTTGTGATTTCTTGTTAACTAGTAGTTTTGCTAATTATTAATTGTTCGCTTAATTTTTGTTCGTTATCCTTTGTTAATTTGTTTTTATAACTATTTATTGCATAGCTTACTTTAATGATTAGTTTTTATTTCCGTTTAAAAGTTAACATTTAGCTTGCTTTCCTTTGTTAATTAATAATTTTAATAGTCATTAAATTTCCTACCCATAATTTCAACATTTTTTAAAATTGTCAAAGACAATTTAAACACTTCCTTCTTATTCTAACTTATTTTAAGATTGTCTGAGACAAGACAATCACCGACAAAGATGTTCACGCGGTGAAAGTAATGAAAAATTATAAAAAGCATTATAATTTTTATTGCATCATTTCCAATATTTGGTGGCACATTTTAAGAATTTGGCGGCACACAAAAGTGCCGCGGCACAGCGGTTGAGAATCACTGATCTAGTGTATGAGTAGTTAAAGTGTGCATTATTTTATCTCTAAAACTTATGAGTAGCTGCTTAGATACTAGAAGAATAAATAAAGATGCACTTACTATAAAAAATTTTTTTTTTCTATGCGTAATATAGTTTCCTTCGCTAGGGAAAACTCTACACATATCTCATCTTTCCGAAGTGATGGATGGTGTAAGATATTTCGGATGCATGTACTTTTATTACCTTTCTATCATACACATAAACATGGATTTTTTTTATAGAAATGATAAAGTTCTTGCATGGTAGGAAACTGAAAAATGTTGTTCAGGATAAAATGGATTCCGATTATTCGAGTTATATCTAGTAAGAATTTTTATTGCTTATAAGATCTGGGGAAAAATATTTTTTTTCGTTTTCAAGACTATGAAATTTTAAACATTTAAAATATTTAAATTTAAAATTGTTATTTTGAAGCAACATAATCTTGTTACGGCGCTAATTTCTTAAATCTTCCAATGATCTAAAGGGTTGGATAAAATGGTTCATTCACTTTTAACTCATAAGCATACAATGTAAAAAATTGCGAGACATATGGAAACATATATACCCTGCATACTAAAAATCTGCATTCTGGTGCATACTAAAAATGTTCAATGTGAGCATCCTTGGTCACCCGACGCACATCTAAATGGAAAATCAGTTAAATCAATATATTCAAGAACATTTTTCTACAAATGCATATCACAGAAGCAGTGATGCAGTCCTGTGCTGTTGTTGGCATAGATATACAGTGCGCAAAATAAAAAATCGCAACATGCTGGCTATAAATAGTAATTATCATATTATTTTGAGAAAGTTTTAATTTCTTTTTATCCTTTATCAAAAACTTACCCCAGATTTGTTTCTGAATTTCTCTAAATAATTAAATTTCGTGAAAAATAGAATTCTCAGATATACAGTCTCTACTCATTCCCCAATACAGCGAAACTTTGACTAGAAATATTGATGCATAAACTTCCGTTTGATACTACATAGATGCAATGTTAATTTTACTGTTCGCTATAAGGTCCGCACTGAACTGTTCATCGTAAAATGGCGACCAAAATTCAGCAATTTGAATTAAAAAACGACGAAATTGTTCAAACCTTTATTTCCATCGAAGTTATTACGCAATAGATGTAAAACATCTTGAATTTTCTTTGAATGAAGGAAGGGTGACATGACCCCCTGAATTCTTATCTAATGTTTAAAGTGATCGTAATTTATGATTATCCATAATCAGTTCACAAGATGCAATAAATTTATGAATCATACTTTTCTTGTTTGAAAATTGCATTCACTCTTTTCGCGAAATGTCAGTCCCTTAAAACACGTGGTCTTCTTCGTATCTTAGTGCCTGTTATTCATCGACGATAACATCCCCAAAACAATCTATTATTTTTAATGTATTTTTCACCCATTAACTGTTATTTTAAAGGGTGCTTTTATGTATGTATTAATATAGAAAAACAAGTACGTTATTACCATTTTTTTAATTTCCGAATCCCTTTTAAAGCAAAGCACTTTTTTGGTGTATTTTGGGTGGTGTATTTTTTTTTTGATCAAGTATTTACAGCATTTTTGCATGATTTATCAATGCAACGAGCACCGACTGTTATTGTATTGAGTGCAATATTTTGGTTACTTCTGAATAATGTAAAACAAAGTCTATATTGATCAAAACATTTTTCTTTCAGAAGGAGAGCTGAAGGTTTTAAAAGACAACAAAGTGATTGGTAGTGTAGGTCCTGGAAAAGCTTTTGGGGAATTAGCAATATTATACAATTGTACGAGGACTGCAACAGTAGAAGGTGAGGGGAAAAATAATTTTTTTTCAACTTAAGTTGTTAATAACTTCGCATTGAAAAAACACTGAGAAACTAAGGCTTATAAAATAAAATATTATAGTATTGATAAATTGTGATTTTAATAATATTCAATTAATACTGATAAATTAAGATCCTAATAATATTCATAAAAGTAACAATTTTGTTAAATAAATATTTGACTAAATAAAGACCAAAAATTATTTTTTGTCTAGTAACCTTAATTTTTCACTAACCAGGATCAAAATCGATCGAATTTTCTTGACTCATTTCCCTTTGACTTCGATTCTGACTTGGCAGCTCTGATAATAAACTGTAACTAAACAGTGCAGAACTGATCTTCCCAATCTTTACTTGATTTTTTCTTAAAAAATATTTTAATGCTAACTTATATCATAGATTCTCAAGCGTTTTTGGAGAATCACACACTTTCCGAGACTAAACTTCTTCAATGCCTCCTGAAAAACACTTTTTTTCTTAAAAACAAGTTTCAAATTTTCTCATAAGATGCATTTTTAAGCATTCTCTTAATTCATAAGGTTCTATGCATTTATATCAGATACTTCATATCAGATATAGCAATTTTTATGAATGTTGTCGACACTTAATAGTGTTTGCAATAGTAATAACAGTATTAATAAATTCAGTATATCACCATAAAATTTGAATTAATTAATGTTAAAGTAAATAGAGATTACAATACCAAATACAATGATGATGAACAAGAACTTTCATTCAATTAAATTTTAATTAAAAAAGAGTGCTGTGTTTTATTAAGTCGACGGCAATTATAAGGGCCTGTGAACTAAGGTTGAATGTAAAATAAATTTTAAATATTATTATAAAAAGTTCCATACCTGCACTTTAAAGAAAAATTAAATTTAAGAAAGAAAATTGTCAGATGGTGTATCAGTATAACACCAGTTATTTCATAAAAAAATGCTGTTATTTATAAACTATTTATAATGCTAAAACTTTTTTTTACCAGATAAGTAAAGTTATTTTAACTAACAAATAAATTATGCTGTTTAAAACTACGCTGCAATCCCTACCAGGAGTTCTCTCAGCTACCGCAGCTCTAGTAGATGGTGCAAAATCTGTTTTTTTTTTTTTTTTAAATCCTAAACGTCTTTCTTATTGAAATAATATTTAACTTAAAAACCATAGTTTTAAACTACAGTAGGCCATCCATATAAAAATGCCTGGCAACTTGACTTGTCGAAAAGTTATACCTAAAGAAATATAATATTCATGAAGAGTATCAATTTAACAATAAAATTGAATCGCAGTTTTATTCATGCAATGTTTAAAACAATTAAATGAGTTCTGAAAAGTACAAGCAAGTATAGAAAATAATCGTAAAATGATGTGAAAAATGTCGTACGGTTATCGTACTGTAAGCAGAACTACAATGCAAAAAATAGAGTTTAAACTGACGGTTTTAATTCGTTAAGTATTTAGATAAAAAACGGAAAAAAACTCTTTCGTCAACACAACAGCTATTAATGGTCTAATATGCAGAGAAAGTCAGTAAAGTGAACCGGAATTTTTTACGATGTGTGGATAGTGGTTAAAAACAGAAAAAAAATCTGTATTTTTCTTTAAAGTATTTTTTTTTGTTTAAAATATATTTTACTTCTATTGAATTTACCGTTATTTTTTTACAGTGTTCCAGTTTTGGCACTTTCAAAAAATATTTTCGGAAGTGGTGGTGAAATGTAAATTAAAAATTTAATAGCTAACAAATATATTTTGCAGAGTTTAAATCGCACCAACGTAAGCTTAATTTATTGATCAGTTCGCGGATCTGTACTGCAATCAGCGTGATAAATTGAATGCAGCTATCAAGGAAAAAAGACCAGCATTAGCGTCCAGATGAGGAATAGTGTTCCACCACGACTAGTGCTCGCCCGCATACTGCAATGGTGACGCTACAAAAACTGAATGCATTAGGATGGGAAATCCTTAGTCACCCATCGTATTCACCTGACATTGCACCATCTGATTACCTGACATTGCACCATTGACCTGTTCAGATCTCTGCAAAATTATCGAACGGGAAAAAATTCAAGCCTTTTGAAAGGGTTTCTAAGGCAGTTTCTGACTATTTTAACTCCAAGGACGAGAACTTCTACAAAACAGGAATTCACAGGTTACCTGAAAGATGGCAACAGGTTGTAACAAACGGAGCATACATAATTGATTAATATTAAACACATATTTTTATAAATGAATTCAAATATTTTCTTTAAAATACGGCAGAACTTTCCCTCCAACCCGATACATTTGCTAAAACATCAAAATGGTAGTTGGCGCTTAAGAAGAGCAAAAGACAAACTGTCTTAGGCATTCTAGAGTAATTTGTTTTGTGTGTAGGACAGCAAGTAAAGTAACAAAATTGTTTTTACTTTAAAATTTATTATTAATCTTTCACTTAATAAATTGTAACAATAATGACTGCTTTAATAGAATGTGATTATTCGCAGAGTTAAAAATCTAAATGATATTCTAATAGAGAAAAAAAATTTAAGTGTACTCAGTATAGCACTTTCTTTTAAACTATTACCGACATTCTAGATATTATTAAAACCCCACATCCTACTGGAGGATGACAATGTCAACAGTGAGAACTTATCTTTTACTTCCCAGAAAATGAGAATTACATCTCTTAAGCCAATAAGCAAGAGGTAATAAGCAACTGACAAATTTGGATCGGCCCGTTGCTTATTACCTCTTAAGCAACGGACCGATCCAAATCTGCTTTGTTACACATTTTACAAGCTTATTATATTCATTATATACACTTATAAGCTTATTATATTCATGGCAATTAATTTTTGGAAACAAAATTTATTTTTAAAATGATATTCACGATTTATTAAGTTAAATTGCAATTCTTCATTTATTAGAATTTGATTTATAGTGTATTAAATTTAGATTTTAACTCATGACCTACAATTTTTTAGCTTCCGAAGATGCAAAAATTTGGGTAATGGACCGAAAAGCTTTTCATACAATTATGATGAAAACAGGGCTTCAAAGGCAAGAAGATAATATTAAATTTTTGAAAAGGTAAATATAGGATGATACATTTATGCTACACTTTCAATATCTATTTAAAAAAAAGAAACCATGAGGTTTTTTTTAATGTTCCTCTTGTGTTTTAGATTCAGAATAACTTTCAATTTTTATATTAGCCTCCCTGGAGTAAAGTTACTTCATTTGTAGACTAATTGATAAAACATTAATTCATTAAGTTTCCTTAAATTACATACATTTTTACAAAAAAGTGAGGGGGTTGTACTGTTCTTTCTGTTATAGCTTCAAATTGAAAGTTTTTATTTTATGATAGCTTATTTATCTTTCAGATATCCTAGTGTGTCCTTGAGATACAGATAGAATAATTGTTTTGCGAATAGAATTGTGGTACTTTAGGGAATTTTTTTTAAGCAGTTGTTTTTAAGAAATAATACTAAAATTGTTTCAAAAAACTGAATGTAACTTGATTTATGTAGCTTAAATATTCTAAGACATATGCAGTTTTTTTTATAGTTAATAGAATGCAAATTTCAATATATCTGAAAAACAGACTTATGAAGTCACAATCAAATGGATTTATTCACCTTTAGCACTTAAAACACTGTTATATTAACTCTTATAGAATCTGAAAATTTGAATTATATGCATGGCTAGTATATGCTTGCATGGCCATGCATACATGTATGATTAAGCACATTGGTCATGCTTTTTGAATGCATGGCTAGTTTCTTTTTTCATTCATGATCTTTGTTTTAAAATAATTATTTTCAATTTTAGTGTACCCCTTTTAAAAAATTTGAAGGATGAAATTCTAGCTAAAATAGCAGATGTCTTGGAAGTGGTAAGACTTCTCTGATTTTTTTCTTTTCAAACTTTTTCTATCTGTTTATTTAAACAATAAAAAAATTCATTGAAAAAGTAAATTATTTAATTATTTTAATTGAATTTGAAAAAATATTAAAATAATTTTATTTAACAATATTTGTTTTTAGACTATTTAACATTTGATATAATATATTAATAATAAATGCAGATAATGCATTTGGTAAATACATGAAATTCAAAGTTTTTTTTTTTCATTATTTTTTTTAATTTTTGGTGAACAGGTATTCCAAAAAAAATTGGATTTATTGTAATTAAGTCTTAGCATCTCTAACCTTGCAAATTTCTCAAAAAGCGAGATCTTTGATTTAAAATAATGGAAATTTTCACCTGAAATAAAATCTGAAATGGATTTGACCCCTAATCGCTTTCGTGGCATAAGAAATGTTCTAACTATTTTCTCCATTCTATTCCTTTTTTCAACTTCACGCAGTCACCTCTATTCATTCTAATACTATTTCTTAGCATGGTGCCAACCAACGTGATGTAGCATTCCAAAATCTAAATTGTCAAATGAATTGAGTTGTTCTGTAGAAAGAACAATTTAAAACGCAAAGTGCTTTTTTTGTATCAGAACTCATATTAAAACTCTTTCCGAAAACGATCCAACAATATAAATGTCTGGTCGTTAAAGGCACATTATAAAACATAATGTACAATTTTTATGCAATAATATTCAAACAAATCTACCATGAATAAACTAAATGACAAAAATGCATAAAATGTTATTAAAATTATTTTTTTTTTGTTGCATGGAATTGTCTTTGAGTAAACAGGTTTTATGATCGCGTTCATAAGAATTCCATTTCACGCAATAGAAAACGAGAGAAATACTGTAAAGTATGTAATAATAATAATAATAATCTATGAACTCGAATCGTCGACTGAGCTTCTACTTATACAGTAACGTGACCATAATTTTAATTTTCTGAATTGTATCAACTCTTCTCTTATTGTTTGGGGTGAGCTATGTTACCTAGCTGGCAGATTGTTTACATAAGTGGTTAAAATCAAAGACTACGTATAAAACTCAAAAAGATCTAACATATCATTTCTTAAAATATGAAAAGACCTACAGAAAATGGTAAATAATATTATTTATACAACTTTTGCATGAAATAAATTAAAGGTTTTAAACCTACTCAGATAAATTAAGAAAAAAAGTGAATATTTACCATTTCTTTGAAGAAAAAAACCTTTCAAAACATAATCAGCATCTTTACTTTTCAAAATTTCTTTTTTTTAATTGTGATATACAACCTTCACAGTTAATCTACTCTCGATTTTTTTTAAACATTTTTTTCATTTTCCCCCTCTTTTATTTTCCCCAACACCCCAGAATTTCTCACTGGCTCTCCTTAAAAATTTAACCCTCTTAGAAATTAAAAACCAATCACGTTAGGTTAGAAGTAATGTCTCAACCAAAGTAATATAATGTAACCAATCACAAGTATTAACGAAGAAATATATAGCCCACCAACGACTGTTAAAATCATGTAAGTTATCTGAAACCCCTCAATGGGGGACTCTCAATCGCACAAAAATTATGAAAAGGGTCCCCAAAATAGGGTCGTACCTGAAATCCATTGAATCTTAAGAACCTCTATCTGAAGTAAAAAAAAACCCCAACTAAATAAGCAAATAAATTAAAATAATAATTGAATTAATTTAGTTGAATTAGAATATGAATATAATCCCGGATACAATCAAGGTTGATATCATAACAATTAATAGTCATAGCCAGTGACGCGAAAATGTCATTGGAAAAAAACAACAACGTAAGTATGTTCATGCTAGCAAGTAAAAACCTAATTTTTAGCTCCTTTGCGTACTCAACATGAACATTAACAATTGTATAAGTTTTTAAACATATAAAACTGACTTCTTACATTTTTCTATTGTTACGTTTGTATAAATTTGTATATAATTGTTTAAAATTATTACGATTGCGTACGTGCATTCATTGAATTCAAGATACGGATATTTCATAACATTTAGTGCGTATCATGGAATAGAAAGATGTACAATAAACAGATTAGATTTATTTCAATGAAAAAAAAATAGTTGTAAACAACTACCTTAACATGAGAGAGAGTTTTTTGAAACCGTTTTGAAATTTCTTACCTGAAAATAAACGTCGATTTTTCTTACAAAATATTAGTTTTACTGTTTCGAGTAAAGAAGAGCTATATCATTAAACTCTTTTTCAAATATTGTTTCTTTACCTTTCAGCTATTATTTCCTCTTTCGTAACTACTCAACATTTTCAAAATAAGTATGTCAACATAGAAATATATAAAGTAAGATGTTTTTTATGTCAAGGGAATACTGTTGAGTAGAACAGTAAATGCATCTCCTTAGTTAAAAACACACATACCTGGATATATATATATAGTACAATAAAGATAAAAAGGACAAAAAAAAGAAGAGAAAAACGAAGAAAATTTATAAGTTCATTTACTGCGCATAAGCTACATAGAACTGATAAAATAAGTTAAAAATATAGAGAAAACACGGAAAATAATGAAGATTAATGAAAAGAAGAGTCTCTTTTCATTAATCCTTATTATTTTTCGTGTTCTTCTCTCTCTCTCTCTCTCTCTTTATAAATTGTTTTCTAAAATTACAAATTCTAATAGAGTTTTTCTGCCTAACATTTTTATCTTAAAAATGACTAGTTGAAAATATACTTTGTTTGAAGTTTTTCTCTAAGGATTTAATTAACTTTAATAATTTAAAATAAACCACATTATTACATTTATGATAATTTAAGAAACACATCTTGCTAAAAATTTATCAAAGACAAATGCTATTTAATTGTACTTAATTAATTTATAAAAAATGGTGGAAAAATCACATATTTGTGTTCGATATAATAAAATAATTTAAAATTGTAAGTAGAACTCAGACAATTGACAGTAAACATGACATCCAGATTTTTTAATTTTTTTAACAAGCAAAAAGACATTTATGAATAATAATAACAGGAAGAGTTTGTGTGTGAATCATTTGTACAATCATCCTGAAATTCGAACAGGGGCAGCAAGGAACAATTTTTGTCCCAATTTTAAAAATCGTTAGATATTTTCAATTAGCAGATGAAAAATTGGTGGTTTATTTCATATTATTCTTGTTATTTGAAAAGCACTAACTTTTCATTTGCTTCCCTTTAACAATTTTATAAGAAATTCTTACACATATTTCAGGATAAACTTTG